TGAGCGCTTGCTGTATGAATGTGTAGATGTTACAATCGTGTAGATGGTGGCACCTACCCCGAGCACTTCAGCCTGCATTTCATATTAATTTCATTGATATACTCTGGCTGATTGACCTTTTAGGTCGCAGGGAGGGTCATATTTCACGCATCACCCGAAATGACGTCCTCGTACGTGTTAGATGAAAAGCGATTATGCCCAGGCACTGGGTTTCGTCGCCGCTACTCCATTAGACACTACGCAACTGTTGGTGCCCATCCCCAGCTAGACCTCCATGTTTACAAGGTCAGGCTAGGTCAGATCACGAGAGATCAAGAGACGTTTATGTTAAGCCCTTCACTTTCGAGATTGCGCACTTTGTCGGGGCAAATGCTTGAAATACAGCATTCCAACAAATGAGAAATGCACTCTGAGTCTTAAAGCTAAGTGGATTAATGACCGGAATTCCGTAAAAAAATTCGAGGAAAACAGAAGGTTACACTGCCTAAGCGATTTTAAACTGGTTGATGTCATGTATTATATTTTTTTACTACGTCCATCCGCTACTCCCGGGGCTGTGCCCACACGTGATGACTTTACGTATAATATCGTGCTAGCTCAGCGCACTCCGACCATGGGGCTGTGCACACGCTCGGCTCAAAACCAGTACTGGCCAGTTATGGTCACTCGATACCCACTCTTTCGTATTCTTCCAGTTGTTTACCAATACATTATGAAAGACTTTCAGGAACGCTTACATCCGACCTTATTGTGTTGTGTGGGTTATTGCAAAAGGGGGTTGATTGAAGCTAATGATCTCTAAATGAATTGCAATCAGTACCATTGCGTAGTATTTTAAGGAGAATCGACCCGACATTTCGTTAAGTATTACCTGTATTAGTACACATGTCTTCCCAGAACCCATGCCAACCCACCATATTACCATATCATGCGGGCACCTATGGGTTTACCCAACCGAGAAGTTCACACCAGTTTTTAAACATTATCCCTGCATCTTAATGCATTCATTCGAACTTTACCATTGATTAGCGTCATACGCACTCGCTTCACCTATATATCAAACACTGGTGCTTTGACGTGATCAATATGCTCCCATTCACCGAACACTATTAACCAAATATTCCACGACGGCACACGTCGCATCCTCGAAAGCCGGCTTGGGCCGCGCGACCGGGCCGCCGGCGGCCGCCTGACGCCTGCACGGCGCGGCGCAAATCTGCGGACGCCGAGGGATGTGACCAGTCGCGGGCCCCAAACAGCATTCAATCCATTCGTCGGGCCATAAAACAGCGGGTCTACACAACAACACCATCGTGGGCGGCACTGGCGCCGGATTATGGTATCCGGCGCGTACCTGAGCGCGCCACAACTGGCCAGCGAGCGAGCGCACGAGCACCGGCAGAGGAGGGCAGAGGAGCACTGCAACGCTATTGAAACGCAATGAAGCACTCGTCGCTGCGGGCACCGGCCGGCGTAATGATGTCGCCAGTGTGGCGGCTGTAGCCACCCCAACGGTGCCGTTCGGGCTCGGACTCGGCAGGCCCAGCAGGTGCAGGCAGGAGTGAGGGGTCAGGCTGCGGGGTTGGGCGACGCACACGAGCGAGCCACCGAAGCACGGCGCGTCGCTACGCTATGGCGTTGGCAGTGACACGCCCATTAACCGCCATGTCCGAATTTTCGGAAACCTTTTCCTAATCTCAGCTGTATGAACAGAAGACGAGGGCCGCAGAAGAAAGCCGGAGGTGTTCGCGTGGTTAGATTTTCCTTATAACAGCAAGCCGCTACCAACGGAGCTATGCCCACACCCGCCCGCTGCCCATTCCTGATAAGTTGTACACACCCATTACAACTTATCAGGCTGGTATCGCGCACATTGGTCAGCATTTTTCCAGCACTTTACTCTATTTTATGAAAACAACGCTTTTGCGTTAACAATTACAAAAGCAGTGTAAAGGGAGCTAATCATTACTAAAAGGGGGGCAAGCAGTAGCATAATGAAAGATACCGAGGCGTCTACTAGGCAGTTTGTAAACACCTCGCTCGTATTCGCAAAAATACCCGTAATTTTCCTAGTCTGCTACCTATTCCACATGGGTGCACATGGGCTTACTCAACCTGCCACGTCTCTTAGAGGAAGTCTCCACCTTTCGTGCCCGTGTAAGTTTATCTGGTGTTGATTTATACAACGAAGTTAATTCTGAGAACGTAAAAATATTCGTCTTCACTTCGCCACACGCTCCTGCGCTAGCCAATTAACTGTTCTTTTCCCCCTTATCAACTTGCGCGACCCCAGATGAGAGCGGTGATTAACTCACATTTTGATTTGTACAAACTAAAATTCATTATATTACCGCGAAGTGAACAGATACTGCCTCACAAAAAAGGTTTTGAATCCAACACGCAATGGTGGTCGCTTTTCAACATGATTCAATATCAAAGCATACCTCATATCTACTGATTTGTTCAGCTCGTAAGCCTCGATTATTTTACGTAGTATTCTGACACGCTTTGACCAGGAAGAGGGCCTCAGGGGAAAATAAGCTGTCGTCAAATTGCAATTTCGTCCGGCGTATCTGCTCAGACTACCTGCGCGCAAGGACAACTGAACTAGTCAAATCACCGCAGACTTTTCATGCCATGACCCCAACGGGAATGAAATATCACCACCTCTGACCGCCACGCCGGTAATATCGCACAACGAAGCCAGCATGCAGACGATAGTGAGCGTTGCTGGCGCGATGGAGTACAGACGCGAGCTTGCAGACGCTTAAAGGCTCGTTGCCTTGAGAAAGATTTGCATCGAGATTTACGAGACTCGTTTACATTACGTTACATTCCTTTACATTCAATGGTGGTGGGGGGGGGGGGGGGGGGAGGGAGGGAAGATACAAGACTACGATTGACAGCTGCCACCAGTAGAGTTGCTTTTGAAAAGGATAGCTTTCAAACGATAATATAGATGATCCACACAGGTACCATACAGGTACGGCAAATAATGAAAATATACTGAAACAGCTGGTCTGGTGGTCCCGAACCTGACCCACAAACACAGCAACCTACAAAGTGATGTCCACAGACACAAAGGCGTACCAAATTGTACTCATGCCCAGCACAGACAGCCAAGCAATACACCCTCACTCACAGTAAATTAAAGGCGGCACCCACACCCACCATTAGCTGCGAAGCTGCACTCACACCCACCACAATATACAAGACTACACCCATGCTCACAACAGCATACGGAGCTACGCGTACACCCACCATAACGTGCTACCGCTTCACTCTCACCCGGTACAACCTGCAAAAATCACCCGCATCCGCCACAACCCATGAGGGTTCAACCACACAAACATCCAAAAGCTGCGTACCCACCCACAACATTCCACAGAATTATGCTCCTAACCACCACACACTCAAAGGCACACCCACTGTTACGAACCTGCAAAGCCCCACCCACAGCCATCACGACCCACAATCTCTCCGAAACCCTCCATGGGACGCCAGACCTCCGTCAGGACTCCTGACCTCCTGACCTCCTCCGCCACAGCCACTCCTCCTCCACAGCCCTGCTCCCCACCGTACGTACGTGGAGGTGGCTGCACGCGGACGTCGGTGGCCTGGTCGCGCTCCGGCCCGTACAGAGTGCGCCGCAGGGTCGAGGCGTGGGTCGGCTCCGAAGTCAGGTCGAACAGCGGCGTGACCAGCAGCGGGTCGGTCGGTCGACGACTGGCGTTCACGCCGCCCAGCACGTCCACTGAAACACCACGCGGTGAGCCGGGCCGCCGGCCGGGCCACAGGGAGCTAGGCGCTACGGTGCGGGGGCGGGGGCGTGCGCGCGTGCGGTGCGTGGGCGGCGGCGGCCGCGGCGGCCGCCGCCAGGGGTGCGGCGGGCTGGGCGGCGGGAGCAGCAGGCGGTGCAAACGGTAGGACGTGCTGTGCCGGGACGCGTTGTGCTGGTGCTGGGGCAGATCGTCTGGAACAGACCACAGCGCTGCTCAGGGCGCCGCGGGGGCGGCTGCACGTGACCGCCGGCGGTGACGGACGGCGAGTCCAGCCGGCCAGGTGCACGTGATAAAGCGCTGCTGGGTGGGAGAAACACGAGCGTACTTGAGTGGCGATTCAGTGGCGGCTGATTACGCGGAGTGTAATGAGCTAAGTGAGCTGATATTAGCATTAGTTTCCGTGATCTTCACAATTGTATGGAAATGCTTGATCTGGTGATCACAGTTTCAAGCCAATTATTTGAACAATGCCATCATAAAAGCCATCGCCACTTGTCCACTTACGGTGCTCCATCATAGCTTTTGGAGTTTTGATTTAACACAAGATACATAGTATAGTTTACATGGTAACCGCAGCAAACTGTTTAGCACCCATCTAATTGAGGGATTTTAAATCGACGCATCACACACAACTGCATATTGCAAATACTCAGTACCAAGACAAGGAAGTGTGATACGCAGTATTGAACTTCTGATATTCCAATTAATAACATATCTGATGATGCTGGGTCGTCGTGGAGGCTTCATCAACCAAATGGTCATTACAAACGGATCCAGCCTAGCATTAGCTCGGTGTAAAAATCACCAACTCATTGCGTTCATATTGACCACTGGACAGTACACCCGCATCCCTTCCGTGCACAGAGGCGACGGACCGGCCCACGCGCACGCCAGCCGTGCTCCCATTCGCCGTTCAGCTCCGCCTATCACGGCCGGTCGCGGCTCGTGACGACGCACCGCTGCGTGCAGCCCCAGGCCGCTCGTGGCCGCTCTTAATTGACCTCTATCGACCTGCGAACCCTGAGGAAGCGACGCCTGACATCGCTCGGCGCTGGCTCCGTCAGCTCTAAGCAGACTGCTCGACAAGCTCCGCGCGGTACCTTGCGCAGCGGCATAGGTATGTGTCCAGTTACTGTCGGTTTTATTTAACGAACGGCGAACATGCGGCAAATCAGATGGCGTGGTATCTGGCCTACAAAGTGATGTTCGTTGTTCGCAGATGATGCATCGGCTGACGAACGACGGAGTGCGGGATGGGAGTTATAATATGTCGGTGCTTTCGCCATTGATTCATATATTAATTCAGAAGATCCCTTCTGTCGTTTCTGGGGGTTCGTTATTTTTCAAAGCAAAGCCTTCATTAGTGATATATGTTTTATACTTGTAAAACGTTAATTTGACCTACAAAATGCATACCCGAAGAACGCTCTAAGTGTGGTGACATCTTTCCAAGAAACTGTCCCCTAGCGGAGAAACAGTAATATTACTCTCATGTTAACGCCATATAATACTAGATGAGGCTCACATTGAGCTGACACAGCTCAAAAGCCGCGAAAGGAGTATAGCTGCCAAAGCCATCACCAGGCACAGCCTTTGCTAAGAACCGTGCGTGCGCGTTCAGAAATATGCGGACCATTTTGAGACTGGTAACGGTTAACAAGAATATGGATTGACTTTCGATGGAAATGCATTATTCGGGAGTTATTTGGCAAGTCAATGCAAGCACGTGTGTTGAAAAGAATTAGTGTCCAATGCTCACACATGCCCAGTGCTAACTTCGGAATGATCCTTAAAATCCACAAACGTGTCCAGGCAGCTGTAACTGTGTGTGCACGTGTGGTACGTTGACATATGCTCCAAGAAGGTAGGTCCTCAGACGACGCTGTAACACCACTATTTTAGTGCGCCGCTGCTACATCAGGACCGACGCGAAAGCCAATGGAACCACGCTGCGAGAGCCAGCACGGAGCCTTTTCTCAGGCACATTACGGCATAGCATCCATCAACATTGTATGATAATAGCCGTCTTATATTTCTAACTTGGGGAAAGTGGCATCCGTAATCGGGCAGCCGGCGCTGAGAGCCTCCAAGTTGGCCTATCATTTATGCCCCGACCGAATGATACACGCACGTCTGACAACTTGCTTATCATTCAGCCTACCGTCGCATCAAAGCGCGTTTGGCTTGAATATTACAGTGCCGTGTGCCCATGTTGGACGGGGTTTCTAAATGCATTCGCTGAGGGAATTGGAAAGTACAGGCACAAATCTTTAAATTCATTTCACCTCTTGATGAGCAGCAATACCGCGTACGCGCATTACCCAAACGTACATTTCAGTATTTATGCAGTCTATACATCGTGCACCATATGCGTGCAAGTGATACTGCGTTATGTACCTGGATGTCTTCCTCCGTGCCCATTGGTCGTCGCTGTTCAATGTATTCACGTTTGAGTTAACCTACGTTTGGGCCTGTGCGCAACATGATTGAGCAAACACGTATTTGTTCATTTTTTTCATACATACATCGATTAACACATCTACCAATGTGATTGTAGCGTACTTGTAAACTATATAACCGGCCATGCTCTGGTGATTCTACCATGGAAGCCATGCACTAACAGCGCGGAAGAAGTCTGTAACGAGAACGAATGTCCTTCGCAGGTATGTGTGTGCCAGCTTTTTGCGTGAAGTCCTTTCTGAATCATGCTATGTTCTGATTTGGACAAGACTGCCTATATTTTTCAATATAACTGATTGCTGCTCCAGCTCTTTGCTCAGCTTGAACAGGCGATCTCTGCTACAAGCATACACGAGCTGCTCGCTTTCCAAAACAAGGTGTACTTCCAAAATTCTCCGTTTCACACTTCCCTTTACAACTCTATGGCGATTCGGTGCCCCAGGCTAAATCGCCGCCATAAAAGTACGAAACGCTCGGCATCGGAAGAGGCCCACAAGCCCCCAGGCACGGGAATACAGCGAAAGCGAGCCCATGCCGGTAGGTGCGGTACTCACCAACGCATGGGTTTCTGTGGACCACATTGAATATACTGCCACAGTCGCTTTCCTGCATGTTTGGACAGATGCAGCCAAACACAGGGCTCAGGCGGAGTCGATTCCAAGCGTCGTAACAGGCGTCACTGAAACAAAAAGGACATTAATGCGGGCCGCACCGGGATCGGCACCGCGGCGCCGCCGACGGCGCAGGGCGAACACAGCTCCGCGCGGCGCGGAACAGAGACGCCGGCGCCCTGTTCGATATTGGGAAGTGGTGTTTGCTCCGTGGCGAAGAAGCTCTTCCAGTGTAATCGCATTTTCTCCAGGTCGGCTTTCACCAAGCATGGATGCAGGAAGTGATCTGGTGTTCTGCAATGCTATGGCGCATAGTTAGCTGAAGTAACGTAACATAGTACTTTTTAAGAGACTTGATATGAAGATTAATCTAGTATGACTAATACATATGACTGATCTGGCAGCATTTTGACATGGAAGAACTTCGCGAACCAACATGCTTTCGTACAAGCGGAAGGGCTATTGCAATGCAATGAAATGGAACAACGCGGAGCCGTAACGTCACGAAGCGTGACCTGCCGTCTTCGATAGAGAATCTACGAGCTTCTTTTGACACGCCATCGCAACCACCATTCCGGGAAATTTGTTTTGCCACTTTGCTGTCATCGATCATAATGTGTCTAGCCTGTCATTCTTGCTCCATTCTTGAAGTAACGGCGGACGCGATGTTTCGCGTAGATGCCATCTTGAAACGCTGTGTTTAACGTGACATTTTGTGTTAAAGGAATGCGGCACCGTTGGAGGCTATTACAAAAACCATACGAGTGGAAAGGAAGGATGGTTTGGCCATCGAGTACCATGGAGCACACTTACCAAAACTCTGGACATTAACCACATGGTGGCGAGTTGAAAGAGGTGACTTCAAAATTGGCTTTCGCTCTCCATTTTCTGAGACGGTCCATATTTGAAGATATTGAAGACAGCATAAGATATGATGTACTAAGCTCACTTTTAACCACTAGTACCCTTTTAAGTGGACAAGACCACTCCAGATTACACAATTTCTCTTTTAGTAAATAAACTCTTCAATACGGCATTGTTTTGATTGCGTTATCATACCTGCACCGCTTTGGCCGAAAGCCAACCAACAGCCGTTATATCTGCAACTTGTGCTCACAAACGCCAGGTATGAACAACTCGACAACTACATTTTTCTTGGCCTTGATCGTCGCATGTCCAATAAAATGACGGGATTTGAATGGCGTTATTATGCCATCATGGATGCCTGGGTGGCCGTGAAATAGCCTGCACGCCTTCGCGGGCGTGTAGCTCAGAAATTAGATGGGTTTATGTCTTGAAAAGGTCTGGGCTGTGAACTGCACCGAATGATCTTCAAGATGGTTATTTCTATTCAAAGCCCCATACAAAGGTGAAGCACTCACTTCAGTCCATGGTAAAATGCTCCGCATCAAATGCTAGGGACTACATATCACGGGAAATGACGGCCGAAAACTCACCGTTGTTACTTAAAACATACAGTTGGCGAGCTGTTTTGATTCTAGCTATCATTAAAAGCTCGTCAAAGTTGTAAGCATTACCAGCTCATCCTGAAGCGACCAGCAGTCTAGGCCGTCAGTTTGGACGGGCTAACCATTCCGCTACATGCGAGGCGGTGAGGCTTTGGTAACATTGACGGTCGACGAATTTTATATTACGCAGCAGGTGACACAACTCACAGGCTTTTAGCTGCAGTGAAATGCTTAAAATAATGTATTTTTGTTGGGAAATCACCTTATACGATCGATGACAAAGACAATTTGTTGAGGTGCTCTGCTGCAACGCTTTGGCTGCGGGTGGCTATACCGAATGAGATCGTGTTGACAACTCGATACCTTTCTGTAGTGGTGAGCATTAGTTCGATCAAAAAATTCCTCAAAAAGTCCATTCAAACCGAAAATGTGAGCTTTTGAGAAAGAAACTGGGAACAGTGAATTCGCGATCCGAATCAGCCAACCCCGATATGATTACCTTAACTTTCAAGGAAATCGATGGTACCAGAGTTTTGTTCGAGGGGGCACAGCGGAATCTGCCCCCATGACCAACTTAACACATGCATTTATCTGTATGTAAATACACTTCGTTAATCGGAACAGGGAGGCAGACATGCAAAAAGAGGAATTTCAAAAGAGATAGTTTGGATCGTAGACAATACATTTTGTACCACCGCGGCGCGCTAAAATGTTTTTTCAGTGGGCAGGTTTCAGTTGTGTCGCTTCCACTGCGAAGTTATTCATACTTCCCCGAATGGTAGCGTTAACACTCTGCTGCACGCCCCATACACGAGATATGACGCCGCCGAGTAGGGACACTGATTCGGGCCCCCCGTTGACACCTCGACAGATGAGCCTTAAAACCGGCAAACGAGCAGGTTTGCGAGGTTTCAGAGGACAATCCCGAGCAAATCCCGGTAAATCCAGGCGCATCCATCTTCCTAGTGGCGGCGCGCCACAAATGTCACGCGACGCTGACTAAAGAGTGGCAGATCGTGACAAAACGGCAGAAAAAGGAATGGCCGCCTGCCAAATCTGGCGCAGGGCTCCGTTGGCGTGGTCGCGGGTCATTCCACTCGTCGGCCTGCTAGGTGAACAGGAGACAGCGGCCGAGCGACACAGACTCGAATAAGCCTTGAAACTCTTACAAGTTTCACTGGCAAATCGAGAACACAAATTAAGTATTGGGTTCTGAGCCTAGTCCACCAGGGGTGGAGTTCGCGTTTTTTATTGGGAATGGAGTGGGGCGGGGGGGAGGGGACCCATGTGGTGGAGGTGGACCCATGAGCCTTACCCGCCTTATTTCTCACATGCATTTCCTCATGGGTATCGTTCTCGTGGTCTGTGGTCACAAAGTGGATTTGAGATAAGGAAGAAGGGTTCATGGTTTTTGGCAGTATGAGTTCAAAGTTGTCATTTTGAGCTGACGATCTTCAATTTACGTGGAGGTACTGATTAGACGGTGCTTTAGAGCTGAACAACTATGCTATTAACAGTACTTAATACTTCGAATTGTGCTCATCCTGAAGAGCTTATCTCTTGAAGATGAGCACAAGACAGCGGATGAGCGTTTGTTCATGGTAATGTTTATTCTTAGAGACACACACCTAACTTTCAAAAATGTGATAACACGATTTTCCATCTTGCTTTCTTTCAACGACGCACAACTTGCTGGAGAAAACCAGCCACTACGGGGCCGCAGCACCCCCGTGTCATAGTGACCACCGCACGTGCCCACGAATGCTGCCGCTACGAGGCCGATCAGGTAGGCTGTAAAAGGCAACGATTCTGAGTAGCTGCTGGGCTCCTCTCAGCAGTTTGAGCCACTGGAGGTGAAGACAATGTCGCATTGGATGGCGCAATGGCAGTGCTCCATGATTGTCAAAATTTGATTGCCGCGTTCTTCTGCTTTGAACAATGCCATGCAGACAGGGGTGGATCCAGAAGGGGAGGGGCATGGAGGGTGGGGGGGGGGGGGGGACATGCCACTCACCTCCTTCGACCACTCACCAGATTTTGTTGCCATGAAGTGGCACCAAAATCTCCTGGTCAAAGAATACCAAACCTTTATCTCAGGGCACCATATGCTATATTCCAGGGGAAATTTCTGCGCCTTTTACAGAGAGCAAATTCATGATCGACTCGCTCTTCGCCATTCGGCGAAGTGGCACCAAAAAGCTGCATTTCAGTGAGTTCAAACCTTTATTTCGCTGAGACATCCAATTCCAGGGTGCACCATAAAGGGACTCAAAATGTGCATTTTCAAGGTAACAAACCCAAGGGGGCACTACAACGCTCGAACCTTTCCGCTAACGACATTCGGCTAACGCCTGACGCGGCGGCTCAATTTTGGATGATTTCGGCGGCATTGGATTCCCTTCTGCCTTTCCACCAGCAAGGGGCCTGTGTTAACCGCGGTACCCCTTTCTTTCCGTGACCGGCTGCGTCATGGTACGAGAAGGGTCCGCGGTTAACCAGCTGCGTCCCTGACCACAGCTCAGGTCATCGCAGCCAATAGAAAGGGCAGCCAATGATGGACACTTGGATCATTGTGCAATTGTGGCATGTTGTGTCGGATGCACTTTAGGCTGGGGAGAGAGGATAGCTAATGGCAACCTGGTCAGTTCATTCAGGTGGAGCACGCTCAGAGTCCGTGTTCATTTTTTGTTCTAGATTTGCCAGTGAAACTGCTAGAAGAGAAAGGGAAAACCAAGCAACGATTTTTCGCTCAAGAAATATATACAATTATCGGGTATAAAATCAGGTAGAATATATATATATATATATATATATATCTATATATATAAATATATCTGAAAGTCAAATTCTTCTAAAACATTTTTAATAAAAATAGGAAAAATAACCCAGACAATCAAAGGCTTTATTGCTATTAAACTTTACAGCCTAATCCGGTTTCGCCTGTCCCGTGAATAGTTCAGACTGGCGAATTATCGGATCAATAGCTCTATCGCGTAGGCCGCGCACATACGGTCGGCATTTATAGACTCGGAGAGCCGATAAAGCGGTGACACGGCCGGACCGGGTGGCACCGCCCCGGCGTCCGGGCGCTCGGCCACACCCAGCGCCGGAGGCCACCGAAGGCGGCAGTCGTCGGCCTCACCCGACGTCGCTGTCGACGGGCACTGTCAGCCGCGAATTGTTCCGGCCCGCTGGACAATGGAGCCGTCCTAGGCAATGGGAAGCTGGCAGAAAAAAATGCGAGCCGGTGGGGTTTGGGCGGATTTGGACAACTGGTGGGCTTGCGAGATAAAGAACTGAATCGTGGCGAGATGTCGCAGGTAGTCAAGCGCTGGCAAGTTCCGCGCTATTTTTTTGCAGCCATCCAACTTAGTACACTACAAATACAATTTCCTCAATAATGACTTCATTTTGACTGGCGTCACGGGTCCGGCTCGTCAGGAAAACAAGCCAGCAACTGGGCCACCGGGGAGTTAGTAAGTCCCATCAGACGACCACCAGCATCGCTGCATGTTCCAATCAAGCCAACTTCACCGGGATAATTCATCAGACCTGCCTGTGCTGGCTCCGTCGACAACGGGTCAGAGGTCCAGCGAGACCCGCACGCGCGTGCCGTCGCCGGCCATGTCGACCGGGCATGGACACAGGCGAAAGGGAGCAGTGGCTGGGGCAGGGCGGAGCTGAAACAGTAGCTAGGACAGACTGGAGATGGAACAGTGGCTGGGACAGGAGGGAGCTGAAACAGTGACTGGGGCAGGGCGGGGCTGAAATAGTGGCTAGGACAGAGTGAATATGAAACAGTGACTGGAACAGGAGGAGACTGAAACAGTGGATAGGACAGACTGGAGATGGAACAGTGGCTAGGATAGGAAAAGGCTGGATCAGTCACTGGGGCATAATAGAGCTGGTACAGTGACTGGGGCAGGGTGGAGCTGGAACAGTGGCTCTGGTAGGGTAGAGCTGGAACAGTGGCTTGGGCAGAGCGGAGCTGGACAGTGCCTAGGACAGAGTGGAGATGAAACAGTGGCTGGGACAGGAGGAGCCTGGACAGTGACTGGGGCAGGGTAGAATTGGAACAGTGGCTGGGGCAGGGGCCCCTGGAACAGTGGACGGGGCAGAATGGAACTGGAGCGGTGACTGGGACAGGGTGGCATCGGTACAGGGTAGACGTACAGAGGCGGGAGTTCAGGTGGGCCTTAGTCAACGTGCTCTGGTGGGTGGGGTCAATTCGACTTTCCTTTGTTAGACCGTTTCACTGGATATCGTCCCCTACTTCGGACGTCAGTCACAGGGCCGTTTCGCTGTACTCCGTTAATTTCAACGCACGTCGATCTTCACCCCCCCCCCCCCGCACCTATCCCAAAAACATACATGCTGCCCCGGTGGCGCGCCTCGGCAGCGCGGCCGGCGACCGCCGGCTTGTCTGTATTAATGGCCGCTGCTGGATTAGTAATGGTGACGGGGTGCCTGGCGCGGCCGGCCTCGGACGCCCGTAGCCGGCCATCGGAAGTCACGTAGCCCGGCCGCCCACCCCCCACCGCCGGTGGCCGCTGCGAGCGGATGGCGGCGTCGAGTCGGGGGCCGGCTCATGGCGACGGCGCTGGCCAATATGAGCATGCGTTCCCGGCAGCGTTGAGAGTTGGCATCGTGGCTGTGTCGTCACAATTAAAGTAATGGCCCAGAACGTCCCGCTCGCTCCCTTTTCCCCAATCGCCCGTCGGTGGCGACATCTCAGCGACTCAGCGTCCTCTGCGGGAAGCCTCCCGCATACCAGCCGGCATGGCCGGGTGACGCACTCACCGGTCTTCAACGGGCTTTCGACCCTGCGCCTGACGGTCTGGGCCAGGGAAGTCTCTGAGCGTTGAGGGACCTGCTGAGGCATTCTATCCGACCAGCAGCGTGGTGCCCGCCCCAGAGCTCGAAGGTCATGTTCCCCGCCGCCGAAGGGCCGCTGAGCAGCCGCGGTGACCCAACACCGGGTCACGAAGCCTCCCCCGCCGCGGGGGGACGAGGACGCTAGGCGGAGCCGGCCAGGGGAGGCTAATGGCAGGCCAGGTCCAGCTAATGTGGTTTGGCCGCGCTCCGTGCCCCGGATAATGCACCGCGCCTCACTGGCCTTTGTGAGGTCGGTGCAGCGGCGCTCCCGGCTCGTCCGGTGCTCTGCTGGAGGGCTCGGCTCGTCCGGTGTTCTGCTCGTGAGCTCGGCTCTTATGCCTGGCTAAGTTGTGTCGATGTGATGCTGTGGCGGCCGGATGTTATCTGTTCTGGCGTGAGTGCTTTGGTTTGCTCGATTAAATCACCTGGATGTCTTTCGTGAACTGGCGCATGGGCATACTGGGCGTTTGCTATGCATGCTTCTTACCATGTGTTATTTTCAGCCGCTTTTGTAAAGATGTTCAGAATTGTCGTAATCTGATTGCAGCCTAACTGTCGTAAGAAGAAGTATAGCTGCAGTAAGCTTGGATTTTGGGAGACCTGCACACCGCTCCCACTGCCTCCACTTGGGCCCTGTTTCCGCTCATTTCGATGTGCCAAACAGCGCACACCAACACGTCAGTGCATGGCCAGCGCGCTGACGTGTGCGGGACGGGGAGGGTACAATCCCCTCACGAAAAAGCACACGTTGTTGTGCATACTGCATGAAAGCCAACGAAATCCGGTTTGGTGCCAGACCAACGTAAGAACGGGTTTCATTGCCGATGAGAAGCAGTCCCTGCTGTTGAGCCGCGCTGACCTTCTGGCCTCGGCGGACCTCCCACGAGCTAGCGCACGGACACAGGTCGAGCGGGGAGCTATCGGGGGCCGGCAGCGAGATAGCGCCACGTCAGAGCTCGCGAAAGCCCCGCTGCCAGGCGTCCTTTGTGCCGCGTCTGCCGAAGACACATCGCACGATCAAAGAAAGCCGAAAGGTCAGGCTCGTCTTCGAGTCGGTGATGAAAATCCGGGAGGCGCCCTGTCGAAGTTTCAGCTGCGCCGGGCGACCACCCCGCTGGCCCGATCCGCAATACGAGGGAAGCGACCGCAGCCCACGGGCTGCAGTGCGCACGTCTGGATTCGCGTTGGCTGATTCACGCTCGATGATTCGAACTGAATATGTCAGGAGCACGCGCGACTCGTGACCGCGCGGCGCCGGCTCGACCCCGGCCGACCGCGGGGCTCGCTGTGGCGCCGACACTGCGGGACGTCACGGCCGGCGCAAGAGGACGCTACGCGAACGGACGCGGAGCTGTGCGGAGTAGCTGCCGAGCTACACGTGTTGCAAAATAATACAATGGCCGTTTGTCGGGTTGGAATGCGGCGTCATGAGTTTCATTACTGCCATTACGAACAGCGTAGCCGACATGTTGATGCAGAGTTTACTCTTAAAAATGCATTATCAAACGTTTTTTTTTCTAGGACTGCCGTGCTGGCTGTTCAAATTCGCGTTTATAACTTGTCCTGTTTTGCATGCAAAATAATATAAAACGAGCCGCCCCCCTGTAAGAATTCGTCCTGGCAGTTGAGTCATTATGAATATGCAGCAGTAAATATTGATGAATGTGCTGAATGTATATATCGTGCTGAATTTGTGTATAGTCATCAATGTGTGAGATTAGTCCTCGGGAAATATTCACAGAAGCCTATGTAGACTACAGCATCATGTCAGAATCATGTAACGCAAATGGGTTAAATCGGTGGGATCAGAACGCAATGAGAAAGATAGCGTTTGTTCTGACGACACACCAGTGTCGAAAGGTCACGACAAGCTCGAACCGCTCAGATTCGAACGTCAGTATGCATGATCCACGTCCCCATCAGTACATTCTAATAGCATGCCACAGTCCCCCCCCCTTCCCCAAGCCACTCAGCCCAAGCCGGGGGCACTCGCCTGTCGGTCATGTGGCACTGGTTGTCGTCGAAGCTGCACGAGCCGATGAAGTTGTCGTACAGCCGGGAGCACCTCGGCTGCTGGCGGCAGGCGTTGAGCGCGTACCGGCACGTGGGCAGCGCGTGCACGGGGTACGGATCCTTGTCTGGAAACGACGTCACACGTGTCACGATGACGTGTCATTAGTCGGCCAGCATATTGCCGGCCAGCATATTGCCGGCCAGCACTGAGTTTGGGGGGGGGGGGGGCGGTCCTGGGTCATTCCTGGACACTCCTCGCGTGTGCAAACGGCGACTGCTCACAAACTGACTTCTCGTGAATGCTCGCATGCTGAGGAAAGCTCAGCCTTCCGCCTGCAGCCGCATCGTACCAGAGGCCACATCAGTCTCAACGACGAGGGTGCCGGTATCCGCGCGGCGCCCGGACCACCCCGCCGCGTGCCAACCGCCGCGCTCATCGGAAGGCGACCCATCGCAGCGGCCGACTGAGCAGTCGCGGCCCGTTTCGCACGTCGAACGGCTTTCGCTCCGCCAGCACGGCCCATTGTTCGGAGCGCCGTGTCGGTGACGTCACGCAGCCTCCACACAACGGCGCGGCCGGCGGGCCGACGGCAGCGTGAGCCGATGCATTAGCCGGTAATAGGGCCGGCGCCGGCGCGGCGAGCCGTGACCTCGCCATGTGACCGCTGGCACAGACACGCCTCGCCCAGCATGCTGATGACCGTGACTGGACGGTGACGTCACCCGCCGCTGGACCGGGCTTTTGGCGGATGGAAGATCGGCGACTGTGTTCGGTGACATTAGGATATATTTGAACAGACGAGACGTTGTTCGACGATTGCAGCTTCAGGCATTGGGCTCAACATATCATGAATGATTGCATGTGCTGTTCGTGTTCCGTTTGGCGTAATGGGGTGAGATCTTCGCCCAAATTGTGCTATTTGTCATGTTAGGACAAACACAAGTACCATGACAATCACGTAACATGAGCAAGAAATGCCTTTAGCTTCTGATTTTTGGACATCATAATTCCTATGTCGAATATAACCGGCTTTCAACACGCCAGCGGGTACCAGTCAAATGACGCGATCATTCATCAACATCTTTCTTTGCTTGTTTTTGTTTTGTTCTCTCCCTTCTGAGAAAGCTGAACGCTTCAAGGGCGTGCTCGCAGCCCGCACGGTGGGCACGAACATTACCTTGAGCCGCTGCGTCTGCGAGCAGTACCTACCAATGATGATACCGTCATTTGATTAGCACCACCACATGTTGGCACCAGCACTACGTATCAAAGGGGCACTATTTTCAGCATAAAAACTGCCGTTCGCTTCGTACACGTGCTTTGTCCTTGTCTAAACATCTGCCAAGGTAAAACGCACTCTCCAACGCCATCACTTTTTTCTACGGGTCATCAGCATTTAGTGTCCACATCACTGGCGGCACCGCTGAGCTATGCAAGGCAGCACGGACGCGGCCCCTGCGGTGCCCGGCGCCAACCGACGCCGGTGCCGACCCTCCGCCACATCGGCGCGCGACGTTATCACTGACTCGCGGGAGTCGTGAATGACGAAACGTCGTCATTGACTCGCGGGAGGCGTGAGTGACGGAACGTCGCCACTGACTCGCGGGAGTCGTGGGTGACGGACACCGTCACTGCCTAGCGGGGGCAGCCGAGTGTGATGCGACATCTTCACTGCCTCGCGGGGGCCGTGAGTGACGAACATCGCCACTGCCTCGCGGGAGCCGTGAGTGACGTACGTCGTCACTGACTCGCGGGAGCCAAGAGTGACGGGACGTCACTGCCGGCCCGGCCTCTGACGGGCCATCAATTAAGCAGCGACAAATGACTACCTGCCTGTCAGGACACCCGTGGCCGGATCATTGTGGCCCTGTCGATAGGTAATTGATGGCCAACGTGGGCGTCAATAGCGGCGATCGCCGCCGCAGCGACTGACCCTTGCGCTTCACCGTGAAGCAGGGGTGGTCGAAGACGAGGTTGCGGTACGTGTTACACTCGGGGTCCATGCGCGGCTCCTTGCACAGGCAAGTCGGCTGGAAGAACTGGAACGAGACCAGCGTTCGCAGCGCCGCCTGGCACTTGGTCACTGTCACCGTTGAGCAGGCCACTGGAACGGAGAGGCGCGATGAGTTAGCGAAATGGGGTTAGAGCTGAGGTTCACAAGGTTATCGATCTGAGGTCAGAGCTGGGACATACCGGTCACCGATCTAATGTCAGAGCTGAGGCACACAAGGCCACCAATATGATGTAAGAGCTGAAGCACATAAGGTCACCAATCTGATGCCAGAGCTGAAGCACGCAAGGTCACCGATCTGATATAAGAGCTGAGGCACACAAGGTCACCAGTCTGAGGTCAGAGCTGTGGCACACAAGGCCACCAGTCTGAGGTCAGAGCTGTGGCACAAAAGGTCACCGCCACTATTCAGGCAGGTACAAAAACACGTTGAAACGGGTGGGTGAATCCTGAAAACAGAGTTCCTGTCACTCGCTAAAGCGGGATTTTGAAGTCTATTGAAGGATTTACGGACAAATGTTCGAAAAATTAATGGCCTTTTTGCAGCGCACAGTAACTCTCATCCAACATCTCGATAGTTTGAGCTTTATCCGTAGGAGTGGGGCGGCACAAACAATGGAGGTTAGACAAGGGGATGCACAGCTCCACCTATGGTGGCCTGGCTACGGAATGCTAAAAAGTGGCAGCACAATTGTAAGGAAGCTGTTGACTCGAAAGGTCATGGCTTTGTGACAGCTCACCACTTCTACATCGACTCATGCATTGGTACGGTCATAGCCATGTTCGTTATCAGTCTCTATGACTTCCTGTCTTACGCCTTAGGGCTAGGCATGCAGCTGCTCGGCGTCGTTGGCTCGCACGCTTTTCACAACACTGAAACATGTCTAAGTGATCGCGAGCCGCTCAAAAACGTACAATTCAGCTAACGAACCAGAAGCCCGTAATTATCCAGGTGGCATTCAAAGAGATGGATAGCTTCAATTCTGGCCCAATGTCGATCCGGAACGCGCCACGGGCCGTAAGCAAACCGCACAATTTCCGCCGAAACGTGCTCCGATACTCGTGGCTATCCCTGCACACTCCCATTGCCCGGCCGGGTCGCACCACTCACAGCAGCTGGCTCGGGTGTCACACATCTGGCCACATAATAAGTTTTTAGGGCGACGCCAACAAATGAGATGGCCTCAGTCCCCACCCGGATGAACCGGCACCCGCCATGTTGCGAAACCCATTAAGCGCGATGGCACTGCCTACGCTGTACCACAAAAACGGGCCGCGTATAAACGTCCCACGCCGGCATTCAGGCTACTTCTGAAAAAGACCACAGCACTGCCGAATGCGTTTCGTGAGGGGGGCCATCTGATAGAGTACAGTTAGCGCTGAGGGAGGCTATCATTGGAGAGGGGGGGGGGGGGGAGACATAATAACTCAAGCTGCGCTCTGAAAATGTGAGTTTGACCGCCACATTGGTTTGTCCAGACGGGCTCTTACTTGATGCACGATAAGCTGATCAAAAATATGAGTGCTACAATGCCGCAGTACGTATCGTATAATGGCCTCGTCATCACCGCTGCCTTCTCCGGCAGCGGCGAGGGCCGAGATGGCCGGCCACCTCTCCGTGGACGTGACGACTAGATAAGCGTTGTTATGCATATGAGCTGGCTTTCGAGCTGGCGAAGATGGCGCGGATGTGATGAGCATACTTCTCTATCTACAACACAGCCCAGGCGCGCTCTGGCCCTCAGATCATACATTCCCCGGACGCAGGCGTGCAGTCACGATATTCTTATAGGGTGGAGGGGAGGGGAAGGGGGCGTAGTTCGGTGAGTGCACATCACGCCGATTTTACCTTTTTGTCTGGAGCCATTCATGGGGAAAATGGGAGGGGGGGGGGGAGATCCTAACAAGGGAGCAAAGCACTGCCCTCCTGGCTACGCTTCTGCGCGATCGTACGGTCTATACGGACGTCCTCTTTAACGCATCGACGTCGACGACTTCGTGGACGCCCACTTGGAGGTCGCCGTCCCCGGCCGCCGGATGGCTGGGGTCACGAAAACCGGCCGGCCGATTTTCCCCGAGCGGAGCCGACCACGGCGGCGCTCAAATGTCATCCAATCGCGGTGCTTCAACGCCGAGCACGTCCGCAGCCAGTGGGCGCCGGTGGGACCGATGCAGCGCCCGGTTCTGATCGAGCGCTCCGATGCACTTCCAGCTGCAGTAATGCGGCGTGCGAATGGGTGCAATAACTCGTCTTTCGACATCCATAGCCCTGGACTAAACCGTAGCCCTATGGCGTCATTTGCTCACTTTGTTACAGAACGCGTCAGCTTCAGCGTCACAGCATTTCACCTGAGCCAACCCATGGCTTGATATTATGGGTTTTAAGTACTTATAATGGAATATCAAAAATAATTGAGGCGCGCGGCTTTCTGCAATACAACAAGTACTGTAAGTAGACTTTGCATTCTGATTAAGGGGCATCGGCTGAGGTATACTCGGCGCGCCTAGGAGCGCACCCGAAGAGCCAAGTCCGCTAAAACAAGGGAAGGTTAAGAGAAAATTTACACGCCAAAATCCCTTCCTACTTGCCAAGGCCGACATCAAACCAGAGTCGACACTGGCCTTCGCCGCCTTACCGGCTGGCGGCCACAGCGTGCTCTGCGGGCTAGTCGCGCTCGCAGGGGCCAGCACGGGGAGCAGTCGGGAATGGAACAGCGCACGGGGCAGGAAGACTGGGCAGCAGGATTGGAAAGCGAACACGGGCAGTGTCACAGACCGGCGGGCGGGGCATGAGGCCTGAGCTTGGTCATTACATTACGGCGGATCCTTTCTTGATCCAGTCACAATGTGTAATGTGGCCAAGAGTTAGGCGTTACGACATGTTTAATGTTAAACTTCACCACGCGTTTGGTGTTAAACACCACCATATGTGTAATGAGAAAATGTCACCGCATGCTTGACATCAAACTTCACCACGTGTGTAATGTTACACCTGACTACATACATAATAACAAATTATCATAAAACGGGTCGGCCATAGGCGCCCAGGCGTTCGGTTTCCACGCCTTTGTGTCCAAGTTAGAGGAATGAGTTTGTCTGCACAGCGCTTGTCATGCCTCTTGCTGGCAAGCGCACTTAAACAAGCATCAAAAGCGTCCCGGAGGGTCTTTGCGATATTGCCACCGAGTCATCTCAGCATTCCTGCCGACAGAATGCAGCATTCACACCGCGCCACTGCAACAGTCACTACAGCACTACCGCATCCTTACCGCGGCATGCTCACTGAGTTACTGCGAGACCAGCAGACAATATCTGGACCGATCAAGCCATATCCCCGCTGGGTGGCTGCGGCATTTTGTCAGAGCTGCCGCAACGCCCTTACGGGGGCATCGGCGAAGTCCAGACCGCTTACCGAGCTCCTGACCGCAGAGGCGGGGGATCAGCGTGGTGATGGAGTGGCAGGCGGCATCGTTGACGCACAGCTGTCGCGCCAGCTTGCAGTTGATGGTGGTGGACGCCGTCTCCAGGTTGACCACTGGAAGGGAGGCACAGTCAGGCGGATGGCGGCAGAGAGAAGGATGACAACGCCGTTGATCATAACCGACCCGTGGGAGGTGACAAAGCCTTCTCAAGTGCAAGGTGAGGACGGTCTGATGGTGTTAGGGACGATTTTTCATTCGTTTGCGCTACACGTCTCATAGGAATCCAGCAGGTATCGCTGAAAGCTGTGTATGCATGGACATATGAATAGCTTCAATAGGGTCCTCCACAAAGGAGCATGTCTGTTAGTTCACAAGTTCAGAAGATACAAGGATACTGCCAAAGTTCAGACGATACAAGCAAGCAGATACAAAACATAAAACATACAGTCAAACACCCATTCGCCGGCTATCAACAGCACTAGCACCCAACAGGTGCGCTCTCACTGCACGTACATATCACCGCCGTGTCAGTTGTGAAATATCCATTGGCATTACATCGTACAATACTGGCGCGTGGTACCGAAACGTCCCCTACCGGCCCCCGTTCTCGACCCAGCAAGGTGTAGGGTAGCATCCTGCCGAACGGGTCGCACTCGTGCGTTGCAGTTTAACACGAACAGGTCTCTCAGCTCATTAGGCTAGCCGTGTAGCATCAGCTTGTGAGCTAGCGTGACCGTTTGGTATTTTGACCTCGCACTCAGTCCGCTAACCCGAGCCAGGTCGGGAGCGCCCAGCGGCCCCGCTGACCCGAGCCAGGTGGGGCGGCCGGAGGCCCCGCCGACCCGAGCCAGGCCGGGCTTTTTCAGCATCCCCGCTGATACGAGCCAGGTCGGGCGCGCCCAGAGGCCCCGCTGACCGGAACCAGGTCGGGCCCGCCCGGTGGCCCCGCTGACCCGAGCCAGGTCGGACGCGCAGAGGCCCGAGCCCGAGCTGGCTCGAGCCCGGGCGCGTCCAGCGGCGCCAGGCGACGAGGCTCTCCCGCCCGCTCGTATTGTGGCGGCAGCAAACGTCCTGGTGTGGGGCGTGGGCTGCAGTGGCAATCGGTCCAGTGTGATCGTGTTTCTACTGCTTCTCGTCGGTCACGGCGAATTACATTTCCGGTGGCAAAATCACCTGGCTCTCCGCAACATACATTGAGCATTGCAAGCGCGCAAGGCAAAAACGAGAAAATCATTACATCCTTTGTTCAGTAAATTCGACAAGTAGCAGTACAAGTGGTAGTTCAATACGAAGACAAGCACGGATTGGTTGCCAGGCTACAGCAAACTATAGTCCCCAGCAGCACAGGCACTGTCCTTTCACCAAAGCGTCGTGTAAGCTACATTAGATAAGCACTAGCGTCATAGCTCCGTCGAATTTAAAAGCCAGCCAAGGTAACACCTGGTCTTTGCAAAAAAAGTATGATAGTTAAGGCCTAAGCTGAATAGAAGCCATTGAGTTGCCTGGATAGCATTATTTGAAACAAATACCTTTTCGATTGTAGATAAAAGACTTTATTAGATTAAATTAAGTAGATTAAAGACAAAAAAAGTCATCACTATACTGCGTCCTACTGGGAGCAGAATGCAGTGGAATTTCACTTTCTCTGATCTGCAGATCATATTGGTGGTCTCTTTTTACTTGGGCAGCAAGAAAGACCGTCTAGGCGAATAGTGCTAACCCTGATTCACGTTTTGTACCACTCGCTTTGCACCTAGAACCAAATGTTGCTGATGCCCAGCTCGCTGAAGCTAAACAAACATCGTTACAAGCGTTCCCAACCTTTTCAGGCTGGACAACATCAATTCCCCCGACGGCGTAGTCACAACCATGGTTGGGTTTAATCTCATCTCTTTAGAAACGTCTCGCGCACCATTTCAGTTTCCTTCGAAAGTTTGTCAACTTCAACAATCTCCTACTGTTCCTGCGAGCCACATTTACCAAGCGCCGACAGCTCCCCTCTCTTTACACTGTCCTTATTTAATTTCCCCACTTCAGTCGACAGAGTTTGCTCAAATCAGCACCATAAAAATACAAGATGTTGGCAGAGTTTAGCAAGCGCAAAGGAAGTCAACTTCAGACTGAAAGCTCGGATGGTTTGCCTTAGGAAAACCCACATCTTAGGCTGCCATCCTGGTCCGCTGTATTTGAAGGTGAATAGTTATCTAATTAACACAATGTTCAACTCTTGCTGGCTATTAAATCATGAAGTTGACCGTGTAATTTGTTTCTTTGAAATTTACGAAATGCAAGTGCATTATAAAACAAATAATGAAAACCAGCAAACCTTCGGTGGCTCGCACTTGCCCGTCAGGAGCACCATTGATAACACGGCTCGCCATTCTGTCTCGGGATGCAATATCTTCCGCTGTCTTGGTTTTCATAATCGATGCAAGCAAAGCTCTAAAACTTGCGAGGGATCCCGAGTGAATGCAAAATTTCATAGGTACTCAAATTTGTTCTAATCTTCTCCGCGCACGAGCCCAAATGCAGCCTTCATCACAACAGTGTCCACAGAGTAACGCCTCCCCCCCTCTCTCTCTCCCTCTTTCTCGCTCTCTCTCTCCCTTTCTCTCTGGCCCATTCTATCTCTGTCTTTGCCGTTGTTGATCTTCCTCGATGCTGCCCGGTTTCTTTGCCTTTCCATTCCGTAGTCTGTACCAAGTAAACATTTCATTTTTCTCTATCCTCTCTCTTACTACAGTGCCGACTAAGACACTTTTAGATGGACGCGTCGTAACAGTCATGCCAAATTTGACCCTTGGCGCTATCGCACGCCTGTTACTGCATGCTGCGCACACAGGACCCACTCAGAAAACGCCTTCGGCACCATATGAACAGCTTTCATCCTCCTTGCAAGCCATTTCAGACCGTCGTGAACATGACGGAGGACCGGATTTGTGAGATGCACTAGGCTGGCTTCTGGATCCCGACCTTTCGCCTTAAAAGCAATGATGGTTCTACACAAAGCCATCAGAACAAGTTAGTCGTCGCTAATGCCGAGGTGTTCCACCGTAACGCGGTGTGGGAGAGGAGGTCGGTACAAGACAACAGCCTGCGGCTGATCCCTGCTCACAAAGGGACCGGAACGCGCAGATTAAACTGCTACGGCGCCTTGCGTCATGATTGTCTTCTGTCAGCCTTCAGGGACGTCCCTCTAGTTGTTTTTGAATACTCACTGAAACATCATGCCCTGCAGCGTATTTGGCTGATTGTGCGACATGTGTGTGAATGCCCTTTGTGTGCGTATGCACGTATAGCTAGACTTTATGTCAATTCCGTCGAAGGAGGGAGATAAAAGACAAAGCACGCATTCGGTCGGTCTTTCAACAACCCCGAATTTTTTTCTTTAAAAAAATCACGTATTTTCCCTCTCACTCTCCCTAAACACATACACTGACGATGTTGGCGGCGTGCCACCGTGCTGCACGGCGCTAGATAGCGGCAGGGCAACCGGGAGCCGCCGGCGCCCGGGGACGCCACGATGCCGACGGCTCCGGCGGGAACGGGAGAGGGGGGTGCACACGTGCGCACCCGCAAGTGTGACCCCTTCACCCATTACCCATCACACGGCCCGCTCGTCGCCCGTCGCGTTGCCCGCCACTCTGACTCGCCCGCTGCCGGTCGAGCCGCCGGCGTGGCGGAGCCCTGTGCCGGCGGCGGCGGCTCTCGATCGCGCTGCCGCTCTCCGCGCAGCGTCGCGTCGCAGGGCAGCACGCCGCGAGCGCCCCACCGCCGCCGCCGCCGCCGCCGGGATTAGCTCAGCCCGCGGCCGGCTCCGGAGTCGCTATCGACGAGACCCGGCGGTTGGTTTATTTGTAATCGATGCAACGAGCGGGCGTTGGGGCCCTCTGAAGGCAACGCGACTGCGATACCGCCGAAAGGTGAAGGGCAACGCAGCGCTAGATTGGAAGGGCGGGCTGCCTTTCGGTAGACCGTCGCGGTGCGAAGCAAAAACGCAGAAGAGACGCAGCCCTATAAGCCTGTCTGGTCTTGTCAAATCCCTGACTTATAGGCTTCTCATAAGACCTGTTTTGGGTTGGACGGCACATCGCTGAACGGGTAGCTGCCTTACATTCTTTATCTCTCACGTTGTTTGGAAGAGGCCGCAACTTCCCTGCACAGTGAGCATTAATGAACATCCATGATCGCATTGAAACATTAACGACTGACATGGTACAACTTAGGTCGCAGTTGCATACAATGCAGATATAAAGAGTCGTGTGTCTGGACGTAGCTGGGAGATATGTGTTTATATATATATATATATATATATATATATATATATATATATATACATATACACCTTTGTATAGGTGCATATACACGCCTATATACCTATATACAGGCATATATATATACATAAAGGTATATATCGAGATATATACAGGTACATATATATATATATATATATATATGTATATATATATATATATATATATATATATATATATATATATATAATATAAATATAGGTATATGGATGCAGGTAATGTAAGAGCCGATATACTGTCTTATCTTTTTAAAGGCTACTTTTTGCCATAATACGTAATTAATGATATGCCGGTTCGTGCAATCCACTAGCATCGCAGTCATAAATCTGCGAAAGTTTTAATAACATCTGTCAATGGAGACAACTTTCAAGTCCTGCCTGAGTGAGAGGCAGGTGGCGCCATATAGCCTCAGCAGCTGAATGCATCGTAGAGCCCCAGTGACGACGACAACTTTCAAGCATATCTCTGCCGTACACATGTCACACATTTAAAAACTTGGGTTTGCAGAGCCCACTTCCTCGTCGCTTTCGCTTCAACTGCGCCACGTTTTTGCGTGCAGCCCGACAGCGCGTGAAGGGGGAGAGGGGGGGGGGGGGGCGTCGACAAAGGTGCTTTCACGGAAAACTAGTTCCTTTACTCAATCCATCAGCTATTCGTAAGCCGAAGTCGATATCCACCCACTATCCGTTCCTAACAAGTTGTACCAACCCTCGCCCGGCAGACCGCATTTGTTTGAAGATTAAGGTATAAACGATAAGAGTTTTATGAAAGCTAACACGCGGACTTATCTGTATGCGTTTATCGTCGCGAAAGCAGTGTGACTCGCAAATAACCAAGGTACTTAACATGGCCTAATACCACGCAAAATAGCGCAGTTTTGTCGAATTGTTACTAAAAGAACTTTGAATAACAATGATCTTCAGTTTTTTCGTGAGATATCGATCAGATATGTCATAAAACCCTGTTCATACGAGCGCCCACACCGGAAACGCTCTGAGCTTTGTGCCCGACCCAGCTCGTCACCCAGGCCGTAAAGGGACACATTGGCTGACCCAGCACGTGAAGGCCCCTAGTCTAAGCCACCCCTTTTCCGCCCAGGGGAGGCCGACGACCCGTTCGCCAGCGCGCGCCGTCCGTGACTGCGGCCCGTTTTCAGTGTCATTACGCGGGGTCGTGTCTGGCGCGCGTGCCGGCCATTTGCGGCGCGTGTCCGGGCCGCAGCGGTCGCCGCGCGCTAAGTGGTCAGATCGGCGTCTGCGGTCCCGGTGGGGCCCACCGGTCCCGTCGGCCGGCCCGGTGACACTTCATCGCCGTCAGACGGCCGCGGCGCGGCTCGGCGTCATCAGCGTCGATCAGCGCCGGGATCGGGTGACGACTGACGACAGCGTCGCTCCTGTGTCTGATCGGCCGTCGCCGCTCCTGTGTCTGATCGGCCGTCGCCGCTCCGATGTCTGATCGGCCGTCGCCGCTCCGATGTCTGATCGGCCGTCGCCGCTCCGGTGTCTGATCGGACGGCACCGCTCCGGTGTCTGATCGGTCGTCGCCGCTCCTGTGTCTGATCGGCCGGCACCGCTCCGGTGTCTGATCGGCCGTCGCAGCTCCGATGTCTGATCGGCCGGCGCCGCTCAGCCCACAACGGTGAGCTGGACACGCCGCCAGACTGCTGGCGGCCGATTCTGCGACCGTTTAAGTCCTCGTGAGGCGCCATTGTTCGGGTTTCTATCAGCTACGCTTGCGGCCAGTCCTCACGGCACTTGCCTAGCAATGCCGCTCGTGCAGGTACGGATAAAGTGAGGCTGGGCTACGCCCGGAAAGATGCCCCAGTAAACGAGGGACGCAAAGTTGTCGTGGCCACCCAGAACTATTGACGTGAGGTTGTCTTCGTTCATCACCGCAGGCTCTCCCCTAATGAGGCTCTCTCCTGCAGCGTCGTCAGCAACGCCCGACATCGTGACGT